CACAGCCCCTCCACCACCACCTCACTGCAAGGACACTGCTCCGTGCAAACACAAACGGGCACTACGCGTGCCCTGGAGAGCGAGGAAACAAGGGGGACCCAACACAGGCAGGTCCATAACAGGAACCCTCCAAACACAACTTCCACCTTCCACTACAGTCCTCCTGTCCAGGGTTCAGTGAGTGCTGGAGTTTTTTGGTGGCAGGGGAGGGGGCTATCGGGGCGGCCCCCTGTGAGAAGCTTCTCGAAGCTCCCCCAGCTCCACGTCAGCTCCACTTCTGTTTGGGAAATTGAGCCCATCAGCTGCGCCTCTGCGATAACGTATTTAAGAAGGGACGTTGTGACGGGCAGTCGGACTTGTGAGGAGGAGTTGCTGCAGCTGCATGAACACCAAGGTCAGTGGAGGAACGGAGGAAGAAAGGAGGGGGGAGGTGTGCCGGAGCAGAGACCCTCCTGTATCCTGTGGGGAGACGGCAGGGCGGCCCCCCCCACCACCCATGAAGATCTACGGTGGAGCAGACACTGATTTATGGCCTGTGGCTTCTGCTCGGAAGATGAAGGTGCTGTGCCCGAAGAAGGCCGGGGTCTCATGGGAAAAGGCAGCCCCGCTGCTGTAATTCAGTGCTGGGAGGATTGCAGCATGCGGGGGAGTCCCACACCTGAGCAGCTCGGGAAGGGCTGCAGCCGTGGGAGGGAATCCAGTCGGAGGAAGTTAGTGACCCATGACGGAGCAGTGTGGGGAACGCTGCAGCCCATGGGAGGAATTCAAGTCGGAGAAAGTTTGTGGAGGACTGTCTCCTGTGAGAGGGGGACCATGATGGAGCAGGGGGAACAAGTTCCGGACACTCCCCTCACCGAAGATGAAGGCAATGGCAGCACTGACTGCACCCCCCATTCCCTGCCCCTGCGCCACTGGGGGAGGAGGTAGAGATATCGGGAGCAGAGCTGAGCCCGGGAAGAAGGGAGGGGTGGGGGGAAGGTGTTCCCAAGATGTGGCAATGCTTCTCACTGTCCTACTCTGTTATGTGTTGTTACTGTCTGTAATAAATGTATGGGTTTTTTTTCTTCCCCTAACGAGTCTGCCTTTTGCTCATGATCATAAAAAAGGGATATTCCCCCGTCCCAGTCCTATCTTGAACCCCAAGTCTGGCTCTCTGTCCCTTCTCATTGCCGGAGGGGAAGGGAGACAGAGCTGCTGCGTTGTGGTTGGCTGCCAATCAGGCCTAAACCACGACACCTCCTCACGTTCCTTCCAAACAGAAATACCCTGTGACACCAGGCAGGGGAGCCTCATTTGCTCTCTGTCTTCTCTGAGGTGGATGAAGAGGCAAACCCACCTCAGGCAGAAAACCGGAGGAGGACAGGGAACGACACAAGCCGCAACACAGGCAATTCACACCAGGAAGACTAAACACACTATTACTGACTCTACCAGGAAGGCGACAGATACAACACCACAAGAGGCAGCGGGGAGGTGGCGAGATGTCCATTCCTGAAGGTATATTCAAAGGCATCACTGGACAAGGCTCTCAGCAACCTCCTGACACCACGGACCCTCAGTACCAGCTAGCACTTGGGACGTCCAGAGCAAAACTCGTCTTGGGAAAAGAGCTTTAGAAATGGAAAGAACTGTTGTACAAAGAGCGAAGACTAAAAAAGAAAAAAAAAGAGAGGAACTGAAAAGTTCCAGTAGTATGGGAGCGTAACGGAAGACATAAGCATTTTACCAGGCAAACACTGGACATTTGAAAAAGAGAACTGATTCGAGAGGGTATTTTCTTCTCCGTGGCACAATGAGAGTGTAGTCACAACAAACTGCTCAACTGGCAAAAATGCCAAATACATTCAGATCTGAAAAGAAGTTTTGGCTGCACCTCCTTCATTGTTAAATAAGCATCAGCTTAGAAAAGACTTCTTAACCCCCATCACAATGAGGATCAAACCGAAGAAAAGGTAGCAAAGAGATTGTAGCATCCTCATGAGGAAAAATTCAAAGTTCAAGTACTGACAACCACAGACACCTCCTGAATGGCCAGCTGCACTTAGAAAGCTTTGGAGATTCCAAAGAATACATCATTTAACAAATGTCCAAAAATCTAAACAGAAAGGATTTATTCATAAAAAGCAAAGCGAAAAACATACCCAACGTAAAAAACACAAACCCAAGGCTGGAGAATTAGATAAGGAAAAGAGACTTCGTCAGAAAGGGAAATTCAGCGAAACAGTCCTAACCGCTAGCCAAGCAGAGAAAGGAAAAACCACACCAAAACCACACAGCAACAACATAACTGTGCCACCCGTCGTGTGCCAGAGATTCCGCATCCCCTAAAGAAGCAGTGCAAACGATGAACCCCCAAACTAAAACCCCCCCAGAACAGCCACAGCAAAACATCGCCAACACACTCGCCACACAGGGGCACCCCACCAACGCACTTCCCCAAGACCACCGCAGCCAACAGCCAAAACCGAAAACCACAGCCGGAAACTCGCTGCCACCACAAAGCCCGGAAGGCAAAGCCGCCCGCGGCACCACATAAAGATAATGATTTCCAGGAAACACCATGAATATGCTCATCATTACCCTCCCCTCATTCTATCCAAATCAATCCGTACAGACGACCAGTGATTTCTGTACAATAGGAACACAGGTAAGGTGAGGTAACTGACAACCAATCGTTATCATGACTGAGGGCAAACGAAACTTTACGAGGTTTGTTCATCTTATGGAACCATGACTCTGCTGAAAAAGAGCAGCAAGACGTTGCGCTCTGTACCTGCCAGTGAACACGCCTTTGGTGGAGCTATCCCCCGTGCTCCCAGCGCTGGGATAAAGAAGTGCCGGCTTATCTGCTTTGTGTAGATAAGGTCTATTCGCCATTGGGACCGCTAACACACCCACCAACACAACGGGGCCCGACGAGAGCACGGCTCCCAGCCCGACACCGCCCTCCCACCACCACACGCCCTTCCCCGGCTCCCAAAGCCCGCAGGAACCTCGGCGACGCCTCACTCCCGCCAGCGCTGCTGGAAGGCACCCGAAAACATCAGTGTCTTGGGTTTGACCGAGTCCTGGGGATTTCTGGTAACAGGGGAGGGGGCTATAGGGGAGGGGGCTATAGGGGAGGCCCCTGGGAGAAGCTTCTCGAAGCTCCCCCGCCTCCAAGGCAGCTCCACCTCTGCACCAAAACTGAGCCAGTCAGCTGCGCCTCTGCGGTAACGTATTGAAGAAGGGATGTGGTGAAGGGGGAGTCGGACTCGCGAGGAGGAGTTGCGGCAGCTGCGTGAACACCAAGGTCAGCGGAGGAACGCAGCAAGAAAGGAGGGGGCAGGTGTGCCGGAGCAGAGACCCCCCTGCATCCCGTGGTCCGACGGCAGGGCGGCCCCCCCTCCCACCCAGGAAGATCTACGGTGGAGCAGGCACTGATGGATGGCCTGTGTTTGTCGCCTGGGTGATCAAGGTGCTGTGCCTGAAGGAGCCTGGGGTCTTGTGGGAAAAGGGAGACCCGCTGTTGTAGTTCAGCGCTGGGAGGACTCCAGCGTGCGGGAGTGTCCCACGCCGGAACAGCTCGGGAAGGGCCGTAGCCCGTGGGAGGGACTCCAGTTGGAGAAAGTTGGTGACCAACGCCGGAGCCATGTAGGGAAATGTTGCGGCCTCTCGGAGGGACTCACGTCAAAGCATGTTTGTGGAGGACTGTCTCCTGTGAGAGGGGGACCACGACGGAGCAGGGGGAACGAGTTCCCGAAGCTCCACCCACTGAAGACGGACAAAGTGGCAGCGCTGACTGCACCCCCCATTACCTGCCCCTCTGCTGTTGGGGGACGACGGAGACATATGGGGAGCAGAGCTGAGCCCAGGAAGAAGGGAGGCTTGGGGGGAAGGCGTTCTCAAGATCTGGCAGTGCTTCTCACTGCCCTACTCTGTTAAGGGTTATTAGTGTCTCTAATAAATGGATGGGTTTTTTCCCTTCCCCTAACGCGTCTGCCTTTTCCTCGTGACCACAGTGGGTGATCTAGCCCCTCCCGGTCCTATCTCCAACCCCAAGCCTGGCTCATCTGTCCCTTCTCATTGCCAGAATGAAGGGCAGAGAGTGGCGGAGGAGTGTTAGGCTGCCGATGAGGCTCAAACTACGACGCTCAGACATGGCAACCTCCCGTTCCTCCTCCTCCTGCCTAGGGGGCTCTACTACCCCCCCCGTCTCACGGCCAACCCATCCTTCCTTGCTTCTCCACCCCACTCAGCAGGCAAGGAGGCAGACAAAACTCAAGGAGGCCCCGGCTCCGGGGCCACGCGCACGGCACCGCAGCTGGGGACCCCGCGCCCCTCCAGCACCACCAGCAGCCAAACTTCTTCCGCTTCCTTCCTCCTCATTCCCTCCCTCCCGCCTGTCCTCCCCGCTCCCATCCGCTTCCAACACAGGAGCCGGGGCAGATCCAGCCACCAGCACACCCAGGACTCACGTGCCCACCCCCACAGCCACCCCCAGGCCCTCGCTGCTGCACCGGGGGCTCCCCACGCTCGCCCCACTGACATCACTTCGCCACCCTGCCCAACGCCAAAAGGAAAGACCAGCTACGACGACAACCCAGGCCAGCCACAAGCCAAAGGAAAACACACCCCAGCCAACGCCAGGGCAGTGCAGCCCCGAAACACACGCGGGCAGGAAGGGAAACTTCAGCTGCACCAGCCAGCCACCACAGCTCGCCCTGCCTGCCGCCCACAGGGAAACCCTCACACACCTCCCGCCGAGGGCTCTGTCCCGCCGCTTTCGCATCTCCCGCTCCAACAACGCACTTCCCCAAGAGCACCGCAGCCAACAGCCAAAACCGAAAACCACAGCCGGAAACTCGCTGCCACCACAAAGCCCGGAAGGCAAAGCCGCCCGCGGCACCACATAAAGCCGCCCGGCCGGCAGCACCCCAAGCACAGCGCCCACCCGCACCGCCACCACGCCGCACCCGCCTCCTGCCCAGCACCCCCCACGCGGCACCCACAGCCCCACCATGCCTGCGCCCGCAGCCCCACAGCCCCGCCTGCGCCCCGCCGCCCCGGCGCTCCTGCTCCTCCTGCCGCCTCTCGCCACCGCCCTCGCCTGCCACCACCTGCGGCCCCGCCACGCCACCTTCCCCTGGGACAGCCTCCAGCTCCTCCAGGCCGTGGCTCCCAGCCCGCCACAGCCCTGCCACCACCCGCACCCGCCCGCCTTCCCCGACACCCTCCTCCACACCCACCGCCCACAGCAAGCCGCCCACACCGCCCTACGCATCCTCCAGCACCTCTTCCACACCCTCAGCAGCCCCAGCACCCCCCAACACTGGGACCACGACGCACGCCACCGCCTCCTCAACAACCTCCAGCACCACATCCACCGCCTGGAGCAATGCGTGACAGCCAACAGGATGGACTTCCAAAGGCAAGGGCCCCGCAACCTGCCGCTCACCATCAGCAAACACTTCAGCGACATCCAACACTTCCTCCGCACCCACAACCACAGCGCCTGCGCCTGGGACCGCGTCCGCCTCCAGGCTCGCGCCTGGTTCCTACAGGTGGGCACACTGATCCGGCAAATGACGAGCCAAGACGCTCCTGCCCCCCACCCAGCCCACCTGCACCAGAGGTCCAGCCCCACCCAGCGCTGGCAGCCGCGTATCGAGCAGAGGCGGCAGCAGCCCGGGCTGGGATTGCTCAGCACTGCTCACACCTCTGCCAGCCAGCAGCCCGCACCGACGGGGAAACGGGCATGACCGCGGCAAGGGCCCGCACCCCTGCATCAGGGCCACAGCCTCGCTGCAAAGGGAGGACGAGGAAACTGCGCTGCTGCATGCTTACCGACAGCTGCGAGGCTCTGGGGAGAGGGCTGGTATTTCTTACCCACCGTGTGAGCTAGCCCGTCCAGCCTGTGACCTCCCCCGCTGGAGGGGAAGGCCCCCATGGACACTGCGGGACTCTTACGCCAATGACCACTGATCACAAAACTCTATCTATTTGTTTGCTTGTGCGTTAATTTATTTATTTATTTAGCCAGCCATTAATTTAAAAATTTGCATCTTTATTTATTCATTCACTCGTTGGAAATAAAGACTTTTCGCAAAAGCAAAAACGAAGGAAAAAGAAAAGAGGTGTTCATCACGCGTGTACCTGACAGGCAAACCCAGGCTCTGTCTCTGCAGGCAGGCAGGGGTGAGCCTCCCTCCTGCAGCCCGTTCCACCAGTGCCCCACGTCCCAGTCGAAGGCTCCGGACAGCGGGTCCCTCTGGGCACCCACAATGGTCCTTCAAGCCCACGGGCATCTCCTGCTGATGCCAGACCTCCAGAGCACACGTGCCCAGAGGACACGATGCCTGCCCCGCGCACTTCTCTCCCACCACCCACTCTCCCCCTTCCCAACCCCCTCCCACTGACAAGACATCAAAGCCACCTCCAAACCACCACCTCCTCACAAACCAGCACTCAGCAATGCCGCAGCACCGCCTGGGACCACGCAGGGTGGCGTAAACAAGGTGCATGCAACTCAAAGGGGCAAGGAGCGGACGCACCAAGGCATGCAGAGATTTGGACAGGCAACACCAGTCCAGGGCTACCCACCCCACCCAAGAAACACCAGAAAGCCTCTGAAAACACAGCACATGCCCAAGACTGCTCCTTGCTCGCCTACAGCCACCACAACTGGCCCAGGATGCTCCTGCCTGTGCTCACACACCAGTGGCCCTGGGGACCTGCCTCGCTACATGAAGCCCTTGGCCAGCACCATGAAGCCCGTGGTGAGGCAGGCCGTGCCCTGCAGCCCACGGAGGCCCATGGTGGAGCAGATCTCCACCTGCATCCCATGGAGGACCCCATGCTGGAGCAGGGGGATGCCCAAAGGAAGCTGTGACCCCCTGGGAAGCCCACGCTGGAACAGGCTCCTGGCAGGACCGGTGGCCCCACAGAGAGAGAAGCCCATGCTGGAGTGGGTTTGCTGGCAGGAGCTGTGACCCCATGGGGGGCCCAGGCTGGAGCAGTGTGCTCCTGAAGGGCTGCACCATGTGGGAGGGACCCAGGCTGGAGCAGTTCATGAAGAGCTGCAGACTGTGGAAAGGACCCACATTGGAGAAGTTCATGGAGGACTGTCTGCTGTGGGAGGGACCCTGTGCTGGAGCAGGGGAAGAGGGAGATGAGTCCTCCCGCTGAGGAGGAAGGAGTGGCAGAGACAATATGTGATGAACTGACCACAACCCCCATCCCCTGTCCCCCTGCTCTGCTGGGGAGGAGGAGGTACGAAAATGAGGAGTGAAACTGAATCCAGGAAGACTCAAGGGCAGGGGCTGTCAAGTGCTTTTAAAATTTATTTTTATTTCTCATTATCCTACTCCTATTTGGTTGGTAATAAATTGTATTAGTTTCCTCAGGTCAAATCTTTTTTTTTTTTACATGACTGTAATTGGGGAATGATCTCCCCCTGTCTTTTTCTTGACCTACAAGCCTGTCACTATTTTTTTCTTTCCCTTGTCCAGCTGAGGAGGTGGAGTGCAGAACAACCTGGCAGGCACCTGGCATCCAGCCAGGGTCTACCCACTACACCACATCTCTTCTGGTCCCAGAACTGCAAATATTTTGTCATTTTGCTGATCTGGAAATTATCTCACTCATTTCAGTTGGCAGTTATTGCAAGGATCAGGCCTTTATCAGGTAGTTAAAGTTGTCATTAATACACTCAACTTTTTTTTTTTTTTAATCCAGGATGTGCAGCTGGTCAGGGTTTTGTCTGGGACATCCCTGTACTCACCTTTGAGTATCTGACTCTGGCTGTCCCACGACTCCACACGGAAAACCTGATATTGACTTCCTCCTTTAATTATGGCATTCATCCAGTGATACTTCTTTTCCAGATAACTGCTCACTGCTCTGTCTCTACCGATACAGTGCATCACTTCATTCTATGACTTTTCTCAGTTGCATACTACCAAACTTTCTCTCATAAGTCCTTATCCCAGATTTCTGAAAACAAAATTCTTTACCCTTCTGCAATCTTAGCTGAGGCTCTTTGTGAATCTGTCGGAAAGCTCAGTGTCTACCACACACCATTTACATTCCAGATCCAGGTAAGGAAGAAAATTTAATGAACTCTCCCTCCTGCAGCTCACCTGCATTTGTTGCCATGATGCACATGCAAACATCTCTAGCTATGACCACCTCCAAAACCTTTCAGATGCACCTACTGGCTGCCTGTGTGTGAACTTGCTGTTCAACCCTCCCTCTTGGTAAAAGAAAGCATTCATGCTCAGATTTCACCTAGATTTGACAAGATGTCATACTGTTGCTACTACACGTAAAAACTTGTCCACTCAAAAGCACAGAGTACACTTGCTTGTATTTACAGAATTTGCAGATGGGCAAATGCACAATGTAACAGTTCCTCTACATCAATTTACACCACCTAGAGAAACTGTTTATGGATGTTTAAAAAGACAGAATACAGAACATAAGGATAAGCTTTTAATCACTATTAAATGAACTTGTTTAAAATTAAATAAACAAAATCATTTACTTACCATCGGTAGCCTAGATTGAAGCATCTGGAGATCATCATAACCATAAATCTGCTTAAAGACAGATTAAAATACAACATCATTATAATACTTTTCTCTGACGCTGACCAATTTCAGGCTTTAAACATAGTTTGACCTAGGCCCACTGTATTTTCAAGGTATACAGATACATGTTGCATTGTGCCATCGTGGTGCACTGTAGCATTTTAAGGCTGGCAGGTCTAAGCTTAAAATAGCTTGTCACTGATGATGTTTCTTGGTGACAGCAGTCCTCTGAGGAGAGACTGTCCCATCTTCAATACTCTTTTCATAGGTGCAACATTCATCAACTTGTGAAAAATCTATAGGGCATTCAGATTTGGGAGTAAGAGCAGCCACCACTTTTGCTGCAATCATTACTTCTGAGAATAACAGTATTGAAAGTCTGATGACTAGGAGCACAAAGCAACATACCATATCCCCTCACATTTAGTGTGATACAGAAATATGATTAAAGTTTCTGATTCAAAAACCAGATAACCAAAAATATGTTGATCCTGCTCAGACATCAAAAAGCCATGTGTAGTCTTTCAAAGTGTGACAGACAAACACATATCACATTTCAACCATTACTATAATAAATCTACTCCAGTAACAAACCTGAGTGAGACTAGTTTTTCTCCAAGGGCCTAAACCTGATACCACTGAAAACCATAGTAACAAGCTTATTTAGCTTCAACAGCAGCCACATTAGGTCTGTACCAACAGTTCTGCAGTATACTATCAACACTAAACCCCCACTGAATATATTTAATATATTCAGCAGCATTTGGAACAAAAATTCTGGTTGCAACATGTGCCAACCGAGATGCCTTGGCATAGACAGCAGCAGGTCTGGAGGGCCCACTTGCACCAAGGGTTAAGCAATCAAGTACAGAAACAATTAAATTGCTTACTGGGTAGGCAGGCAGAAGTCCTCCAGGTCCCACAATATACTGGTTATGCAACAAGGGCGGTACACCTTGGGGCAGGTTTGGGGGAGCTTTGCCTGTAAAGTCAAAATACAGACACTTTAACAAGCCTTTAGAAAAGAAAGGGCTTCAGCATTGAGACAAGACAGCTCACAAGCCCTGGTGGCTGCAAATATCTTGTGAAGAGCAGAACTATGCTGAAGAATTTTGTGCTGGCTGATGAAAATGCTCAAAATAGACTAAGGGTTTAACCATGTGTCAAGAAAGGGGAATCACAGACTATTTAAGGCTGAGAACAGTCCCATCGGAGATCAGTCTGATTTTGTCATTTACTTTGACCAAGAGGATTACAAGAATTACAGAAACTTCTTTCCTCAGTCCTCCCCTGAAGGCAAAATTCAGGCATTGTTTTCCATCTAAGGGAGCAAATGCTCTCCTTTCATTTTCTGCTCTGTCAACACATTCCCCATTATCGCCAGCAGTAGACTTGAAAGCACTAAATGTTGCCAGCATACTTTTTGTGAGTGACTTATTGCAGCTGAGAATAGCAAAGAGAAGATTAAAAGTTTCAGTTGCCTCCATGAAGCAGTGCTAGGAAGCACAAAAGTGGAAAAAATGTGCTTTGGCCAGTCATCAGACACTTCATTTACAAGGTACGGGAATAAGAAATGAGAAATCCTTCTATAAGAGTTTGATCTTAATATTTAAATCATTCAGTACCCTCCACAGGATTTCCTTTTTGCAGTTCAGGTTGATTAGAGAAGCAACAGAGAATTTCACATTGCTCCCACTGCAGTGTGAGAAGCCTCCCCACCTTCTCTCTCTGTGGACCCTTTTTCTGAAGTGCTATTTGCTATGGAATGACCCAGACATCAGACACCTTTTTTCCTTTCTCTAGATGTGGCAGTAGGGATGTGGCATATAATAATGAGGACACTGCAGTATATTTTGATACTGTCAAATGAATTGAAGTCACAGAAAAGACTGACATTAGAGCTAATGTGAACTCACAGCCAAGAGCCAATCACAACCTGGAATGCAAACTGGGTGAATCTCCTAGTCCAAAACTTCCCTGGTGTCTATTTATAAAGCTCTTTGGGGACGTAGTGTGCTATATAAATGCCACATAACACCCTAACAAATATTTCAAATATACAAAACCAGCAACTTTATTTTATAAGACAGCAAATAAAGCATGCTGAAAATGCCAGTCAAGCATAGTTGTGGCTGGTGAGATGCTCAACTGACAGCCCCGCTGACTGAAGTCCTCTGTCTATCCACATTATCTGTTAATATTGCGAACCTGAAGACACTAAGGGAGCTGCCCGTGTGGTAGCAGCTGGTATAGACACACTGGCAACGCTCAGGCCAAGGCTGTTTGTAGTGTTCATACTGCTTGCCATGCTGACAACCGAAGAGGTGGTGCTAGTGGCTGAGGTTGAAGCAGTTGAAAAGGTTGTTGAGGGCTGAAGCGAAGTTGTGTTCTCAACACTAGTGTGCTAGAAAGGAGACAAAAACAATGAAGATCACAAAGCAAATAAAACACAGTGGAAGATGCTGAGGGGAAAAAAAAATATCAAAAAACCCTCAACAATCTTTTAAGTAACAGGAGCACATGCAAAAAATATGCATTATCTATACACCAAGCAAGCAAATAAGTAGCATGCTTGTGATCTTTAAGTTTTCAGAGAAAATGATTACATGACAGTTAAATTTAAACAGCTATATCATCATAAAGTGATACCACAGAAACTCAAATGCCACTCCATTGCATTATTTCTTGCCCTTTGCTTGTATACTCCTTTAAGCTAGTACTCATTACGTTAAATAAACTCCTGTATTTTTCCAAAAGACAGTACTTGTTTTCAAAAACCAGGACACTGCTGCAGTGATTTCCTCAAGACACTAGTGGAATTTAAGAGATTAAAACACAGCAGAGTCAATATGCCCCACAACAGAGTCAATGTAGTAAACTGATACGCAGACCAGATGTGTTACAGGAACACATAAGGATAAAGCGGTTCCTGGTTTGAATCCAGCATAATACAATGCCTTTAACTGTAAGCTGATCACACTTGTAAAATAGTGTCATCAACACACAAAAGCCAAAACAACTCTGACAACAGAAAAGAAGGATTCTGGACAAGTGTGAATGTCTAAGTTACATATTCAGTAGGGATGGAGCATTACAAACCAAAATACAGGCAAAAAGAAAAGTAGTAACTTATCTACACACTCCAGCTGGGATTGTACAGAAGTACCCCATCACAGAACAAGGCAATGTGTCTCTGACTTTCATTTGTGCAACCTCATCTAGAGCACCATGTTCACTACCATTCGCGTTATCTCAAACGCATTAAATACACAGATGACAACAATGCCACATTGTAAACTCTAAAATCAGTCATGAGGCATTTGTCATGACCTGTGTCATTCCATCACCTGCATTTCGCCAGCTAACATCTCCAGTGGAGACTGCTAACAGTCCACAGTTTGGAGCACTTTAAGACAGCCGCTTCTAAATATTTTTTTATTATTTGTAGTACATTTGTTACAATTAAATATTTCTTAATTCAATCCCCCCTTGCTGACACAAAAACTTCCTCTGCATTTGTGTGACTGGCAAGCCTCTGCAATAGCTATTCCTGATCTAGTACAAATCACAAGTGGTAAAGACTATTTTTACCACTAGAGGGCTGGCAGTCCTTCTTCCTCACGATAAGGCTCTTGTTTCAGTTCTTAGTGTACCAGGACACAACGACCTTTAGGAGAGGGTCTTAATCATCAGATAAAATGACTGTAAATCAAACATCTGTTGAAACGCAAATAGGACTTACTGCATGTGAAGTGCTTGAAGACAACACTGAGGCAGGAGAGAGGCTGCTCTGATGATTGGAAAGGGAGCTAGAAAGAAATCACAAAGAATTAATAAAACTGTTTTTTTCCTATAACTATTTTTAATATCTAGATGTATGTTTATATGCACGTATATAAATATACAATCACAGAGCAGACAGTAGGATAATAAATAATAAAAATTACACATATACACACAGTAGGATATTAAAGAAAAAATTGTCTGTAGGGTTGTGTGTGTATAAACATACACACAGACATATACAAACACCCCTAGGGGCCTTTTTTCCACTAAGTAATATCCTGCTAACTTTTAATGGAAAAAATTGAAGTACAAAGACAGCTATTACTAACAAAAAACATCTAAAACACCATTCATTTGTATTTATCAATTTATTTTCAGAAAACCAATAGTTGCTTCAGGAATTATGTAGCATTGACTCCAAGAGACATAAGTTCAAAACCAGAAGAAGGTTCACATAACACATGGCTTGTTTCTCATTCTTTCTCTTAGCAACTGCTTCTGCCTGCCACAGGGCACCAGTATTAATTTATTAGGTGAGGCAGTGCTTTGGTTTGACTCACTATGGTATTTCTCGCATTTTTATCTACATGACATTAGTTCAACCAATTAGAACTGCAGGGTACTTGCCCCATAACTCTGCCAAAAGCCCCAATACACCCTCAAAAGACAGAGCTCAAAAAAAAGGACAAAAGAAGAACATCCGTGAAAGCCTCAAAATTAGCCATACTTCTACAGAATCTGGTGCTTTAATCAAGGCTGTTTCATACCACTACAATCCTCCAAAACCCATTCCCTCTTTGAAAAGATGAATCGGATGAATCAGAACTATCAGTTCAGTTTTATACACACACCGTAAAATACGAAAATAAAGAACCCCCTGATGAAAAACATCTGCAGGTAATGTCATTTTAGAAAGCAACTCTCCTTTGGCACCACCTTTTTTTCATAGCTGACCAGGCCTGTAAACTTTTGGCGGGAAACAGTGGCACCAACAGTCATCTATAACCCAAAGACATTTAAAAGTCTCCCTGAAAGGTGACTGAAACTGGTTCTCAAACATTTACACTGACAAAAGTTATACCTTACATTTGAGGTCAAGAACATAACTTACCATACGGTGTGCAATAAACATAATGAACACTGAACAAAGGCAAACAAAATAAAGCCATAAAAACATGTATGGTTTGGTTCTCAAAAAGTCCCTCCCCTCATGTGAAACTGGATGCAAGAGAGATTCTGACCATAACAAATATTTTAGTGTTCTCTATGGAACTAGGCACAAGAAAATACAGCAGTTTTCGTAACAAAGCTGCAGGCTAAATTATAAGCCCTAAGGGCAAATACTTCTGGCAGCACTTTGAGGTGTGGGACCAGAATAAATCTCAGCAGTTTCATAGATTATTTTTACTTCAGTTCTTTAAAACTGTTCCACATCTGCAGGAATCACAATGACACCACTTCAGGCAGCAAGGAAAAATAGTTCAGCCCAACATACAGTTTTAAACCACTCCTTCGCTCACTCTCCCAGATCTTCTAATAAGCCTTAATTCACCATCTGACCAACAAAAGCTGCTAGCACAATCAAGTCAGACATGCTTGGAAGTCACAAATCATCTTTTCACAGCATTTGGTACCTGCCCAACAGCATCAAACCTCCAACTAAAATTTCCACCAATGTACACAGATTTTTCTGCAAACAAATGTGGGGAGATGATGTTTCTAACGTGAATGGAATAACTCTTGTTATTTGGCATATTTGCCATTTTATTCAACATAAAACACTAATGTATTACTAGAGAAGCAACCATGTCCTAGCTGTGAAGCAAGGAAAAAAAAAATGGTAACCCATCAGATTAGTTTCTTACATTAACAAATATAATACCAAGGTAATTATAAAAAGTATAACTCAGCCAGTATTCCTTCAGGATGTCACCTGCCTGAGGATGAAGCTCAAGTTAAGCAACACTGAGAAAATCAGACAGTGTAAGTGAGCTAAGCTGTGCTGAATGTATTTCCAGGAACACTGATCTGGTATTTCAAAGTGTCTTAAGGAAACATATAAAAACCACACACTTCCCCTGTGGAATTATTTCTGGGTTTTAATTTTAAGAAATTCAAATGTAAGTGAAACTATAATATTTCAAAATTAGCCAGGAAGTAAAACTGTTAAGCAATGATTTGAAACATATGACACTAAACAAACAGCAGGCACTGTGGACATAGTACAAAAAACAAATTGGGGGAATGAATTCAGCTGACATGACTCAATTATAAGCCCACTGAAACACAAAGTTGTTCATATACCATGAAAACTTGAGGGCAGCAGCTGCTCTATCATTAAGAGGCAGCCCATAGCTCATACTTCGCTGTCAGAAACATCCTAGTCTCTTCTGAATCTTTCTCCTAATTCTAGTTAATGTCAGAAAAGGGGACCCTGGTGTCTGACAGCCCCATACACAATCACCCTCCTGTTTGCCCTCTCCCCAAAACTGAACCGCTTTCAGTACAACTCCTACTGTACCTGCTTAACTGGGAAAGTGAGCTGCTGGCCAAATCACTGGACTGAGGCAAGCTGGGCAATGTTGCTGCGTGCTGTGATGCTGAAGGGAGAAGCGAAGCAGTGGTGGATGCCACGCTAGGCAGAGAACCAGCAGAAGGCAGTGAGGGAGAAGGCTCTGTCTTAGGTGCTGGAACTGATGGAGTAGCTGCAACAAGTTAAAAAGAGGCATTCAAAGGCAAATTCCAGCACACCTGATATCCCAGCCTGGATTCAGGAACACAGTAGTATTCTCCCCCTGGTTTACACAAATCTGACCATTAAGAACCAGTAACACAATCAAACAATCTGGCTATTAAGGAAAATTCAAACTGTAACAGAGCTATCATTTTTTACCTTTAAGCTCTTCACCTACAACAGACTTATAATTTTCACTGCTACACGTAGTGAACTACAGTCTTCTGCACTTCACCTCTCACTCCAGATTACTAGCTTTTGCTCATAAATGAATCCTCATTTTAAAATTGCTTGCATTTGGTTCTGCAAACAGAAGACATCTGCACTTTTCAAGGCACTGCACAAATCTACTTTTACCTATAGCTCCTTTACCTACACAGCACTTTTGATAATGAAGACTGAGATCACTGAGTACAAGGGCACATATACTTTATCAGTTTGGAGTATCCAGTCAAAGGCATAACGCAGTAGAATAAAAGAAGCTACAACAGGAGGCCATGTTTGAGCATAGCATTTAGCATTTTCAATGGTTAAAAGGTTGTCAAATACTGACTTATTTAATTTGAACTAGAAAAACAAAGTATTTATTTAATATAGGCTACACAGAGCAAAATTTTTCATCAGAGATGTGCCTTTCCAAAGGGTCACTATAGTGCAGTAAGACACTAAAACTCTACTGCTCAACATAATTCCCAGATGTTTCTATAGTCTTCTCTTGTCCTGCAAAGATAACAAAGAATTAGAGGCACTCACCCACCAATAATACTCAGAAAGAGAGCTGAGCCCTCCCTTCTGTGGGGCCTTGCTTCCATACCACACCAGAGACCACTGTCCAGTGGATCATCACTAACTTGTGCAATGCATGTGAAGAGTTTTAGAATGGTCACCAAACAAAAGTCAGATACACACTTGGAAGTTACGCATCACAGTTTGTTCACATAATTGGTTTGGTTTCCCCACTAAAAGACCCAAGTCCATTTGCTGGATTGGGTGCTGTGTGAACAGCAATCAAGAGGTCTTGGCCTTGGCAATAAGTATGAGGGTAACTGACAACAGAGAAGTTAATTCAAGTGATAAACAGAAACATAGTTATGAAGGAGGCAACTATATCACCTGATACCTCCTGGGAAGATTCATATAAAAATAAGTAAATAACATTTACAGCTCTAAATACATTTAGAGCAGGGCTCCCTTCTTGAAGTAGAAGTAGAGATCCTCAACACAAGGGACAGAATCAACATCTTCATTAAGACCCCTTACAAGATGCCTGAACATGATGTGTAAGACAAAGAAAGCCAGGAGACAA